TGCGCGAGTGAGCGAGTGAGAGCTCTTTGAGTCTATTGTTCCGTTGATAAAACTGTCACACATTTTATTAGACTCTACATAAACCAACTTTTTTTTTTCTACAATTTATTTTGGTTTATGTGTGGTTTACGTTCATAAGATTATGATAAGATGACGTGCAAATATGACATCACATCACTCACATGATCGACTAACTTTGCGTATTGTGCTTTTGTCCATTGTAATATACTTATTTAGCTTAGCGACACACTATAGTTGACAGACTTTGAACGCGATATGAAGTCAGGGCCGGATTTAAGGGAAGACAGGCGCAGCTACTGCCCCGGTGACTCCACAAGAAAGGGACCCCTACAATAAAAAATATTTGCATTTATTACCTACAATACTTTAAATCTTATGGTTGTCAAAACTATCGTGATTAAGAAATGTTCGCTTGTAGCGTGCTCGTATCATATATATGAAACTCCTGATTTACGGCAGTGCGTCAACCCAGGCCCTTACCCTTCACAAATTAATTATTATTTTTTTAAATTCATATTAAATATTATTTGAAAGAAGGAAAATATGATTACATTTACTAATACTTTATTTCTTTTTTTTTCTAAAATATAACATGCTTTTAGGTAAAATTATTATTATTAATTAGTGGATTTTTATTAAAGCTAGGGCACTCCACAAAAATCCTGTCTCGGGGCCTCCACATACTTAAATCGGGCCCTGCATGCAGTGACTCTTCGGATGGTGTGGTGTAGTTTGTTTATATGTTTTTGTTTGTAAAGTGTTTTTACATGTTTCGGATGTTCCTTCACAGTTGAAGATAATTACTTCCTAGTCCAAACCTCCCGCTGGACGACGGGGGATGGGAGCGGGCAGGGTTTGAACTCTCGACCATCGATAAATCTGAACGACAGTCCAGCGCGCAAACCGCACGACCAGGCAGCCATTTTTTATTTTAATCAGTTGGCATTAGGACATTAGGACTCTGGGGCGACAGAAACTCGACTGTGGCTGTTTCTACATTAAAGTTAATTTAAGTTTACAACGATTTCGACTTAGTTCTTCACTTGTATTGTGCTTTGCTTCTCACACTCACTTAGTTGAAATACACCCGTACAAGACACTCAAACATCTGATTGAAGGTATATAGAAGTCAGACACATCTCTTCATCAGCGAAACGCGTTGCGCTATTGTTGTTGTTTTGTTTTTTTGTCTCAGGTTTCGGGTGTGAGTTGGGGGGATGAATGATTTTTTTTCTTCAACTACTTTACTTGTCCAGAACTTAATATCACTTCTTGTTCGCATAATGTCTATGATGTGATGATCTTTATGTTCATTGATGATCAATACTAGTATAAATGCGTAAAATAGAGTCGTGAGATTAATATCATAATAGACGAACTACTGGAATAATCAACTAGTAGGCCTACACGTGAATTAATCTCTAAGTAAATGCAGAAAAAAAATCAATACATCACTAGATTCTGACTCTAATTTCAAACAGATACCCAAAAAAGATCAACCATTAAAATGATTTATAATCAAGTTTTTCTAAAGATTACCACAATATCCGCGAACATTAATTTTAATTGAGTTTCCTGTAACCTATTGGGGCGAAGCAGGATTTTCTTAAGCTGCAACAAAGTCAAATCTAGAAATTGTCTTTTTCACAATGGCTGATACAGGAGGGGGGACGGTAGGGGCGATCTCTCCCCCCACCACTCGGCCGACCCCCCCCCCCCTCCCGTGGGGCGGACGAATTTTAGTATAGAAATCACACAATTTGTATACGAACTTAATTTGTGAAGGGTAAGGGCCTGGGTTGACGCACTGCCGTAAATCAGGAGTTTCATATATATGATATTTAGAGGGGTTGAATACATCTACTGCCCTTCCCACCTAAACCCTTTAAGTGGGGGGGGGGGGGGGGGGGGGCGGTCATACTTTTATGGAGAAATCATACTTTGTGAACAAAATTAGTTGAATTTTTATATTATGCCTCTCTCCAATTGGTATTTTGGACCATTCGGTGGGATGGGGGGAAGGGTAATTGCATCTACTGCCTTCCTTACTCTAGCCCTCTGAGTGGGGAGGGGGTGGTCCTATTTTTATGGAGAAATCATAGTTTTTGAATATATATATATATACAGGGCTTTTTTGTGACAGTACGCACTGGTACGCGTACCGGCACCTTTTTGAAAAAAATATTACTTTAATATTACTTTTCTTCTATTTTAACGTATATTATTAATTTTTAATTAATTAATTATTAATTTTTTGTAGTTAAAAGTTAGAAATCAGCTACTGAGTACCGGGGAAAACTCTGGTTTGACTGGTATCATCTTTCTAGTAAAAAATGAAATACATTCAAATTTGGCTAAAAAACTTGACCTAGGTTTTGTAAGGACTAACGCATTCTTGAAAGTACTATCGCTTTGGGAATTTCCGAATGTAAGGCATTATTGATAGAATCTCTTTCGGTGACAGGCCCGTCCATCCTTTTTGTTGTCTTCACGTTGCTTTCTCTGCATCCTCTTCTTTTTTTTTTTTTTAAGAGATTATTTCACTTTAGGACCTTGGCCTACTAGTTAATTAGTTTGTGGAGCACCTATTCAGGCCCTAGTGTTACGCGGAACAGTTTGGGAAACACTGCACTGATGTTTTTCTAACTTTACAGAACGTAACTATTAAACAAGGCAAAAGACAGGGAGAAATGAAGAAAGACGGTCGACAAATCTTGCTTGGTGCCCCAATGGTCCAACAGACTAAGGGATAGGTAAAGTAAAAAACAACAACTATCATATTACTGTGTCTAAATAGTCAAACTTTTGTTATAACCCTGGAATACTAAGTAAATAAGAAATAACAGCTTACTGATTTATTCTGTACAGTATAGGCCTATATGTAATTGCAAAAGTGTAGGTTTTAAAAGGTTATCTTATCACAAAATCACTAACTGAATGATGAAAATCACATTTACAAACGATAAAATCAAGGGATAACTTTTAATAGGATAATCATTTTAATTTATTTTAATAGTATACAGTCTAAATTTAGATGTAGATCTATATTTTAAAAAAAAAATAAAGAACCAAGTTTTATTTGGGGAAAAAAAGTAGGCGCCTATCTTATCGTTCCAAATAGCCGAATTATGGGATAAATAACTCGTATGCCTCGTGTAGTTTATTTATAATAGATCTATATGTCTGTGGTTTGTAATATATAATCTAGGCATAAATATAAATCCTTACACCACAGAATTCTAACTAAATACAGGCCACGTGAGCAAACTTGATTTCTAATGATAACAACCTCTGACTTTTAAGCCAGACTCGGAGAACTGTGCTGCTACTCGAGACTTACGCCTGATTTCCACCAGAAATCTGGCACGTGTTTTTGGTTCGTATTCTCTTTCTTTTGTGTAGATGTCAGCACTAGTCAGCAGTTCTTCAGATACTCAGTCAAACCGCGCGCTATTGTTATTTGCCTGTTGGGTTATCCGGAATACGTTCAGATTATCATATAAGAAAGGGGGGGGGGGGGGGGGGAAGATCGTGTTCTTTCTTTTCTTTTTCCCCCATTAGTAGAAGTGAACAAATTGTTGGCTTAGTATTTATGGTTGCCTAATACTATCCGACTTTAACATTTGACGCTTTTTTACAAATATTTTTTGTCTAAAGTAACTTTGACCTGGGACAGTCCCAGTGGGCGCTAACTGCTCTGAATCATCACCATCGCAGGTCAACGCAATTTCGTGTGCCTACGATAGTTTGTGATAAAGATAAGGTAACTCTGTCAGGGGAGGCGATAAGACGTCGGGTATAAATAGAAGCGCCAATCATGAATCGACAGTTTATACTTTCCCTTTAGTCGTGCAGAGGTGATGTAACACTCACGAGAGTAGATTGGGTGTGGCCGTGTGCACAGAGCTGACATCTGGTGGAAGTGTGTTGCCGGGACACGGAATATGGTACTCTTTATAATGAGGAATGATCTTCAGATAAAGGGCACATCACATCGGTTTAGGATAACACATAGAATGGGGGGATAAAAAAGGGGGGGGGGGGGGTAGCCATTATGGAGTTTTGGTCTTCACTTCTTGTCAATACTTAAATTATGTTATGAAATCAAATCAACCATTACCAGATAGGCTACAGTCACATCGGTTCTAAGGCCCTGAGATGATATAGAATCTAGTAAAAATAATTATAAAGAAAGCTTATATCAAAGATTTCATGGTTAAAAAGTTTTACTGCGATGAGAAGACAACATAAAAGAATGGACGGGCCTGCCGTTGAAAGAGGTTCTATCCAAGGCAAACACTGAAAGGAATGGAGAATGACAGTTCACAAATCTTGTGTGGTGCCCCAACGGTCCAACAGACTAAGGGATAAGTGAAGTTGAAGTTTTACTCTTTAGTTTATGGAATGGAGTACTGAGTAGGAAGTGGACCTCGATAGTTGTGTTTACACTGGAAGATTCTAACAAGTTAAATTACTTGTTTTTGCTTCAGAGCATGTGAAGATTACAAACTTTAAATTGATTGATAAAAGTTTATACACTTAGCATCTGTAGTAGTACATCTTACAAGGGGAGGCAAATCAATTCGCCAGTATAGAATGATATCCTTAGTAAAAATAAATCATTGAACATTTATTTAGACTCATATGCCACACACAAAAACCCAAGTTCACCGTTGTGGGCTGTCAGAGAAATGTAGTCATTATTTATATACAACATCAAGTAAACAAACTATTAATTAGTAGGAACTAGCTGTCAGCAATACCATCCAGTAGGAGAGCCAGTACAGGGAATCATATAGTTGAGCATTAACTTTCAAATATTTTTCAGCTGACAAGTTAGAGATGGCAAAGCTAGGACCTAAGTAACAAATCTGTATGGACTTGGAACTTGTATTTGGCGTACAGGAATGTAGCAGCAGACACAGACCTAGGAACTAAGCTTGCCTAGAAATAAAATGTTAATGACCAAAACAATAAACTTTCACTTTTGAAATAATATTCAAATATTTATTATAATTCCATCTTAAATAAAATCAAATGTATAGATCTTTACATTGAAATGAAAAGGAAAGAAAAAAAAAAACAAAAAAAGAATACCAAAAATAAAATGTCAACTTTCCAAAATAAAGGAACAAACTGTACAAATTACTAACACAGAAACACTACCAAAAGAAATATCAAGGATGAGGATGATCTCAATATTCTACAGCCAATAAAATGATATAAACAGCACAGAACACCTAGTTCTCTCCATTGATTCAGTCCCCAGTCCATGGCTGGAAACAATGCAAGCAACTGTGATGGGAAACTCATCAAAAGTGAAACAATAACTATATACATATTTACATTGAGGGGAAAAGGGGGGGGGGGGGGGGGGGGAAACACTAAATCACAATGAAATAAAAACTTCCTCTTTTAGTCTCTTTTAATTTCTTCATACATCAAGGAAAAGGGGGGGGGGGGGGGGGTGTCAGAACACAGCTAATAGATTATGACGCTCCATTGTTACATTGTGAAATTTACTTATCCCAACATTGACAATACAGATTTTATTATGAATATACATATATGTATATACCTTGGCAGTAGTCAGCTGACACAGTAATGAAAGAAAAACACTGGGGCCACAATGAAAACATATAGACACACCCATAATCAAGACACACCCATATTGAGTCTACTAGAGTAAGATTGAACATACAATGCCATATTTATCAGTTACAATTTGCTGCCTTTCAAAAATAAATCTTGCCAAAAGGCAGAACAGTCAGACCATTCTTTTTTTTTTTTTTTTTTTTTAAATTATTCTTTCAACAACTTATCTTTAAATTTAAGAGGCTAACACCTCATGAACAGGGGAGGAGGGGGTGCTTGAGACAAGGCCATCACTACTAAACAAAGCATCTGATAAATGAAAGGTGTATGCCCTACACAGAACTGACAGAAATCAAAAGAAGACTAATACTAACTATATACAGAATTAAAGACAATAATATGTAATGATGTATTGGTAAGGTAACATGAACAATTAAAAAGATATCTAATATTTTATATGTACAAGTTATGGGTTTATTAAAACTATATGATGATACACTGTAGTATGAATGACAACAGAGATGACAATCATATGTGGACAAAAATTAAAATACAGAACAGGATGCATGACAAAAATGACAAAATGACTCCTTCATTCCGCAAGTTCAAACATAACACATTCAGATAAAGGCACCAGGTACTATCTCGTACAGATTTTCTCACAATGTATCATAATCTGAACACAATACATTTTGCAGTCCATCTAAATCTGGACACAATACATCTCACATTGTATCATAATCTGGACACTAATACATCTCACAGTGTATCATAATATGGACACAATACATCTTACAGTTCATCTTAATCTAGACACGTACATCTCACATTATACCATCATTTGATCCAGTTATAGACAAACTGAAGTGTTGAAACAATTCTGAACCAAAGAGTACAAGAAGCAGAAACTTGATACAAGTATGAACAAAACATTATTTGAAAGGTGGCCTAGAGATGTAACTCTACCACTGCTATCATTCTGCTTAAAAAAACATAGCATGGAAAAAAATCACTGAACAAAATTCAAAAACTTTACCAACAAATATTATCATTTTCTTGCACAATAAAAAAAAAACTGTAATCAAGATTAAGATGTTGTGAAGAGACTACATATTATATTCAACAGATATAAATAATAAATATATTGAAACACAACTTCAGTTCAATTGTAGTTCAATTGTGAATTCTAACCACCAAACATGAAACTAAAACTTTGTTCAAAGTGTGATGTTTTAGTCTATGATGTAGTAGTGTTCTTGTATTCTTGTTTTCCTCAGTTTACTAGTACTATGCAAAGTCTTGATGCTTTGTTATAAAAATGTCTAAATGTCCAAGAGTAAAATTATTATAAAAATATATGTTCAGAATAAGAACAAGCATAGAATAACATAAAAATGTTAACATTGTGTGTTCTGGAGCCCAAAACAATAAACGTTATTTTTAAAAATTAATTAAAAGCATTTTCAACAGGTGGTCCCAAAAAAAAATATTAAAAAAATACACAATTAAAAAGTTTTTAGACAAATATACAAATGGGACTTAGGACAGCAAATGTGTTGAAAGGGCTTCACTAGTCTCATTCGGTCATAGTAAGACTATTCATCAATATTGACAGTAGCATGTACACTAAATATATTGAATTTTGAATTGTAGTGATTATTGCTTTTTTTTCTTCTGAAAGCGACTTTGTTTTTTTTCTATTAACTTTTTAAAGCGTTTGTTATTTCTTAATAAATAAACACATAAATAAGCAGAAAATATTTCCTCAGAACATAAAACAATTCTATCAAATACATTTGGAACAAATAACTTCTTCGAGACCAAATGGTAAGTGTCTAGAAAATAAAAGAATCAATAGTTTACATTTTACTGAGAAGCCAACGAAAAAAATGCAATTTATATATTTTAACTTCCAAGTTCAGTAAATGTATTTTGTCTATAAAAAATAAATTATATTTTTAATAAAGTGAAATGTTATCAGGCATCAGTAAATATCAACAGTTTTGGTAACTGTCATGAAAAATAAGAAAAGAATCCTAAAAAAAAATAATAGAAAAGCAGATCATTGTAAAACATCTGAAACTGCATGCTCCACCACATAATAAACTAGATTCTATACAACATATGCATTCAAGAAGGAACACAATTTTGTAGCTTATAAAAATACACAACAAAAAAAGTGTTTTTTTTAAATTGACAACTATACAAATAAACAAACAGTCACAATCAAATTGCAGTGAAGATTTTATTGAAATTATTACCTAGAGTTTACAATGTAGCAATCAATAGTCACTTAGTTTATCATGGAACTGAACTAAGAGTGACATCAAAATATTTCCAAGAATTCAAAACATAATGAAGACTAGATTTTTTCTTTTTATATCAGAGTTTGATAAAACTTTCATAGCAAGTATGGCACTTAATTCTAGTGACAAGCGATTCCTGGTGTCAGTTATATCTAACTTAATCTGTTCAATCATTCAACTAGCAGCATACAGACTATAAGAACACACAAAAAATGTTTATAAGAACAAACATTCTAAAAAATAAAAAAATATTAATTTACAAGAACTCCCAAACTTTTTTGGGAATACAAGTTTTCAACTGAAATGTTGCTGCTAATGGTGGATTTAAAACAGCCAATATTAACAATTGATCAGTCAGCCTGCACAGTCATACAACAGAAGCCTCTCTATTTTACAAGTCACTGGCCTTTTCAAGATGTCACGTCTAACCATGTGTTGCATCATCTTCTACAAAGTCCTCTGCTTCTTCCCTTGTAACACATTCCACATGACTCACCTGGGGAGGGAAACGTTTTTGGAAAAGATAAAAATCAGCCAAAGAAATCCAGTAAATCTATTACTTCAGTTTAACATTTTTCTACAAAATTTTTAATTCATATTCACAACTTTAAAAAAAAAGTGCTTACTTCTGATTAAAAACAAATGTCCTGTAAATAATATTAAAAAAAAAAATGAACACCTTTCAGACCTTGTGATCTATGGTGGCAGATAATGTCAAATTTATGTTTTTATGGCTGACAATTAACGAGGGTGTCATGTGACCAGCACAATGACCAACTATCTTTACCTCCTCAAAGTATGCGAGGTACCCAATAAAGTATGCGAGGTCCCCAATAGAGTTTATTTATATAGAGTTTATTTAGGACAGGGCCTAAATATAAAGAAGTTCAAAATCCTAGCTTTCACTGGGATTCAGACTTGAGACCCCTTGGTTCATAAGCCAAGTGCTTTACCACTCAACCACCACTGCCCTCCTTTAACTAATATATAATGACATCAAAATGACTTTCTCATTTGTTTATCAACAAACTAAAAAACAAAATATCTGCCAGATGTTGTATTACTGTAAAAAGAATGTTCAAACAACTGAACCCCATGTACAAACCATGAGAATAAATTACGGTTGTACTTCCAATAAGCTTGAATAGTTTCACTTTATTTTTTTGTTTTAAATTTTCTTTTCAATGGAGTTAAAAACAATTAAAGATAAAATTAAATTTTGACAACCAAACAGGTCAGCTTAAGATGAACAAAACAATTTTAATGAGATCTCAGCTGACAGTAAGTGTACCTAGTATATAAAGCTGAAGCAATCATTGACAGAATATTCTTTTTAAAAGATAAATAACAAAAACATTTTATTTAATCGCCTTTTTGACTCACCTTATTTCTAAACTTAACACCATAAAATTTATCAGCATGCTCTAATAACTCTGGTCTGAAGGTAGTGGTAATAAACTGAGCTTCTTGCGCTAGTTCATGGATCATGTCTGCATCAGAAAACAAATGTGAAATGTGAGCAAACCTTGAGAAGACAATGAAGACAACAGTTTAAAACAAAACTAGGTTCCATAAAATAAAAAAGTTCTCACCAGCAACAGCCTTCCTATGTGATGAGTCCAGGGCTTGGTCAATCTCATCAAACAAGTAGAAGGGTGCAGGATCACATTTCTGAATTGCAAAAATGAGAGTCAGGGCGACTAATGACTTCTGGCCACCTGAAAGTTGCTGCATGTCTCTCATTTCTGCTTTATTTCCAGTGAAAGAAACCTAAAAAAATTGATTTTTAAAAAATATGATGATATAAAAAACAAAAAACTAAGTTCCCATGTATTGAAAGGTTAGAAATATTACAGGAAATCTATATTTGATTCTAATGTTTGTGTAAATAAACTAATGCTACTGTAAACCTGAAATACTGGTACCAACCTTTATTCCAACACCTGTAAATTGTTCTACAAGGGGGATGTCACCTTCAGCTCCCTGTCAATCAATCAATCAATTTAACTCCAATAGACTGACATACTTTTGTACAAAGTAAAAAACTATTACTACTACTGTACCGAACAGTTCACTTACATCACCCTCTATTTCTCCTTTTTTCATAACCAACACACCATGACCTTGAGGAACTAATTTCTTAAAGATTTCACTGAAGTAACGAGAAACCTGAAAAAAAAAAGAAGAAACGTTAAATTCAGTTCAGTAAACTCTTTTATCAAAATAGCAAATAATAACATTAAATGAAAGCTGATATTAAAGCAAAACCACCTCTGACTTAAAAAAACAACAACCATATGTGATTTTAACAAGACAATTAAACAAAATTCTATTTTCTTCTTTGTGAAAAGGTCTTTACTGCTACTACTGTATTTTCACACATTTACCCCACATACCCGTATTACCAGCACAAATCAGAAAATAAAAAAAAATCATGCAACACACACCTTTATGTACCCCACAAGAGCAAAGCCTG